TAGTTTATAGCAATATACAAACATATCAAAAGGCAAGGGGAAATGACCATTGACTCTCTAACCCAACATCTCCAAAAAAATTGAAAAAGAACAGCAAGAAACCCCGACATCCTCTAAAAGAATTGAAATTCTAAAAATTAGAGCATAAAGAAATGAAATAAAAAATAAAAAAAACAATTGAAACCATAAACAAAAAGAGGAGTGTTTCTTTTGCTTTTGGAAGAGAAGGGCAAACTGGGTGGAGGGGATGGGCAGGGAGAGAAGTGCAGCAATGAATGAATAGAAATCCAAGGTCTCTGTAAATGCTCATTAAAATTATTAAAAACAAAAACAAAAAAAAACACCAAGGAGTTGGTTCTTTGAAAAGGTCAATAAAATTAACAAAACTAAAACAGTCTTGTGGAGCTGGGTGATCTGGACCCTTTGGCATCTCTGAAATCACAGACTTATCTAAGTATTCTCAGAAACCCTGTAACAAATAAGAAGCATTACAGGCTGTATGTCATTTATAAAGTCCCAAAAGTCAGAGTACTGGATTTCCAGAAAGTAACACTAAAAGTAAATACTAGTAATATTTGATTGGCTGGGAGCCATTACAGAGATGTGTGTTTTCCTTAAAGGTTTTCTAATTATTTTTTAATATTTGTGTGTGTGTGTGTGTGTGTGTGTGTGTGTGTATTCCTAGCAGAATTTATGAGGGGACTTTGCATGTGGTGTTGGTCTTCCCAAAATGGCAAGGTGTCAGAGCACTGTTAACAGATTACTCAGATGTGTCTCTGATGGGAGCTTAATACTACATGTCTGAGTGCTTCCAATTGTTAAAAGCTTGGGAGGAGGAGTGGTATCCACTTCCATAATAGCTTGCCTCCGGAAACCCTATGAACCTGGAGAGAGGATGAAAGGCACCGTAGCGTCAAGGACTCTCCTTCATAGGATCATAATGAGTCGCCTGCGACTCGACGGCACTTTACAACAAAACAACTATGAGAAATAATCTCACCCCAGTCAAAATTGCAAAATTTTACAGGATAGCAAGCAACAAATGCTGGCAAGGTTGTGGCGAAACTGGAATCCTTATTCACTGTTGGTGGGAGTGTAAAATAGTACAACCACTATGGAAAGCTGTATGGTGCTTTCTCAAAAAGTTGTAAATAGAGATAACATTCAACCCAGCAATTTCACTACTGGGAATATACCCCAAAGAGACTATAACTGACATCCAAGCAGATATATGCACACCCATGTTTATCGCGGCTTTGTTCACAATAGCAAGGAGTTGGAAACAACCTCAGCGCCCATCAAAAAACGAATGGATAGAGAAGCCGTGGTATA